TGGTTAGGGTTAGTGTTAAGGTTAGGGTTAGGATTAAGAGTTTAGGGTTAGGGTTAGGGTTTGGGTTAAGGTTAGGAGTAGGCGTGGGCGACTCCTAGACACGTTAGTGAGGAGTAGAAGAGGTACGGTCCGGCATATTAGCAGGCGTAGTGGCCTCCCAAAAAGTGCCACTGCAAAGAAATATGTATCCGATGCGGGGTACTCCCCCAGAAAATTTTTGAAATGTAGAGCCTGGAAATGGAATTTCTGCATTTCAGGCCCATGTTGAAAGCAACCAATTCTGATCATTTTAAAAAGGCAATTTGTAAATTTCAAAGAGGAATGTAGCTAAAGCTGATGTTTTGACTAAAGTATCTAAAATATATATTATGAGTATGATAACTAATAAACATTATTTACAAAATGTATATACTATCAGTACATAATTATGAAAAATAAGCATATTTTCAATCTGCATTTATACTTTCACTATGTACATCTGTATGTTTTGAAGTTTGAATTTGAATAGGCACATTGTCATATTAAATACCATTCCAAATCTTAGAGCAGACTGATATAAAACCTCTAAATTGATCAGTATTAATAGTAATATCAGACAGTCCAGTCAGATAACTTGTCATTTTATTTTTAATTATTCCAATTTGAATCTTTTCTGCCCGGATGGCAACTTACAAATTCTGAAATTACATCCTGTTCATCTACCTTGTCTAACATGTCTAGGGTCACATGCGTGACCATTGCATTGTTGAGCCTTAACTGGGTCGTGCTGGTCGGGGGGCACTCCCATATATATTGCATGGTAGGTATTTGCCGCGGGAGAGACCCCATTTTCAAACCCTAACCCTAAATTTTAATTCCAGTGCATCGCATTTTTAAGAATATCTCGTTCAGAGCATAAGTTTAGTTACCAATGGCAGATCTTACATTTTTGCCGTTCCGGAGACCCTAGTTTTTAATAATTTCCGTTCCAGTGCATCGTACTTCAGATAAGTTGAAGCCGGGCCGTCAAGGCATGCATGCAAGTGTGTGTGTTGTATGTGTGCGTGCGTGCGTGTGTTGTCTGTGTGTGTGTGTGTGCGTGCGTGCGTGGCGTGCGTGCGTGCCGTTCATCTCTCTCCGGTCATGTTTTTTCTCTTCTACATAACAATACAAATTATGGTTCAAGTGCTTACAGCATAGATTTAAAGCAAATCACTGTTCCCCCTCCCCCCACAGTTCCGGAGACCCCTCTTTTAAACGTGTCGCCAAGTGTCATAGCATTGATGCTCAAACGAAAATCCTAGTTCCGGAGACGCATTTCGAACATAGCCAGTTCCAGAGCATACCACATTCAACAAACATTAGTTCCAAAGACCCCCATTTTCAGGTCTGAGTTAGTTCCAGAGCCCTCCCCCTCCCATTTGACTTCGCATTGGCACATATGATACCTACCATAATGTGGGGTGAGAGTGCCCCCCCCTCCGGGGTTTCATCTCCTTGGTATATGTTGCTCCTTGGTTCCCTGCAGAAATTTTTTTTTTCCAAATAGTGCAACGGCAGTGCCGTGCTGCGTGGCGGCCAGGAAAAAATAACCACGGGGCGGCGGGCGATTTGCGCCCGAAATCCAAAAGAGCCCCGAAAACACATGATATCGGGGGCGACCCCAAAAGCAAAAGTCGCCCTGGAAATCGATTGTTCCAGGTGGCGCCGCCCTTGCCGATCTCGCTCGGCCTCTGCCGCTAGCGGCAGCCGTGTCCACTGTGCGGTAGAATTCCTGGTACGGTGTGCTGTCAAGTGTTTATCATTAAGCATGCATGTGCTGTACTGTACTGTATTGATTCAATCAAGCGCGCGCACGCCGCCGCCGCGGCGCCGGCGTATATATACGTGTGTGCCTGCCGGCTGCGTGTTCCTTGCGCGCTGCGCGCGTGTGCCTGCGCGCGTTTGCGTGCCTTGCGCGCTGCGTGCATGCGTGTGTGCGCGTGCGCTGCCGTGCGTGCCTGCTATGCCGTGCGGGTGTGCCTGCGGCGTGCCTATGTAGACCCGTAGGACAACGACCCGTAGGATTATAGAACGGTAACCATGAAAATCCTAATAAATTCACACGTATATTTTTCCCTGGCGGCCACACTCGTGTGTCATTCCCGATTGTACTTTTTGTCCAATTCCCGAAAGAGTTTTGGCTGTCGCTCTCTCATAGTCCAGCAATACCAACCCTCTACATTTTAGTAGTGATTTTAATAGTGATTTTAGTATGATTTAGTAGCCACGCTGAAACAATCGTGCCCCCCCATACTTCAATCAATGCCGCCCCTGCCAGCAGGCACGTACGCAGCGTCGATGTGCCAAGCCATTCACACGTGCCTCGCGGCCCGCTTTCTCAAACCCCCTTGAACTTCCAGCGCCCTTACGCGGGCCTTGGACGCCCAGCCGCAAGAGACTTCGCGTATAAACAATCGATCCTCCTCGCTCGTACAGGCAGACATTCCACTATTTGGCTAGCCGTAATAGTTCTGTGTTTAGCTGAACCTGTGATGTATTCACTATTCAAGGTGGCATTTGTGGTTGTGACGTACGTTCCGGCAGTACCCTGGGGACATAGACCCTATCAGCATCACTATCAGTAGGGCTGAAAAGGTCTATGTCCCCCCGGGTACTGCCGGAACGTACCCTGGGTACGGTCCGTATACGGAACGTACCCTGGTACCAGAGCATATAAATCAACGTGATTTATATGCTCTGCTGGTACTATCTAATATGCGGACGCGTACCTCGCTAGATACAATAATGTAACCAAACCCGAGGAGATAGGGTTCACAAAGCGTCCCTATCCTTTTGTGTGGAGGAATTCAGGAACCCCTAAGTGAATCATCAGGGTGGTTTGCTGGTGCGTTTTCAGAGACTAGAATTTCCAACTGGGTTTATTCTCAACACAAACCTTTCTCTGCTATCTTGGAACTTACTATGTATCACTATACTCTGTATTAAACTAATATAACCTGTTACAAAATTCTGAAGTGACAAGCGGCGGATATTTCGAGCCCATTTCTGTTGACCTGTGACGTACGCATTCCCAAGCGCATAGCAATCGGCAATCGCAGCGCCTCCGATTGGTCGGTGAATCCGCTCTTCGAACCGAAGTACGTCACAGGTCAACAGAATGCGCTGTGAAATTCCGCCGCTTGTCACTTCGAATTTTTGTAACAGGTTATATAGTTTAATACAGAGTATTGTGAGTACATAGTAAGTTCGAAGATAGCGGAGA